TAGTGGTGATAGAGCAGGGTTATGGCCATGAAGTATAATGCTTTGGGACACCATAACCCAGGTCCTTTGTGAGGGAGTAAGTGTGGCTGGGGGGGAATAATATGAGAGGAATTGCCGCACGAGGGTCAACACAGTGATTTGCCTTAATGGAGTGGGCATGTGGTTGTGCTCTACCATTTTCCCTACTTGCTGTCAAGTCAGAGTGGTGATAGAGCAGGGTTATGGCCATGAAGTATAATGCTTTGGGACACCATAACCCAGGTCCTTTGTGAGGGAGTAAGTGTGGCTGGGGGGGAATAATATGAGAGGAATTGCCGCACGAGGGTCAACACAGTGATTTGCCTTAATGGAGTGGGCATGTGGTTGTGCTCTACCATTTTCCCTACTTGCTGTCAAGTCAGAGAATGGCTGTCTGGGTGAAATGAATTGAGGGGTATCTATTAGGTAGTAATATGACTAAAACTATTACTGATCTTGTTGGCAGAAGACTCAGCAGAGATGTTAGCAAATCAGTGGTTCATGGCAGCATGCTTGATTTCTTCATGTAGCAGCTAACGTAGCTGCAGCTCTAAATGGCCAAAAGAATTGTGGCTTAAAAACTTTTCTGTTTTACTAACAGAAGTTGGCCCAATTTACGAGATATTATCGCATTCACCTTGTCTCTCAAATAAAAAAAAGGCAGGACTAAAGGAAGCCTTCACAGGGTGTGTCCCTACTAAGAATGTAAGCAAGTAGTTAACTACCTGATTACTCACATTCTCTCTGTATCAGAGGCAGCAATGGGATGTGGGAGCAGGAGCAGTGCTGCCTTTCCCTTTCCCTAGTTAATTGGCTTGTGCTGGGTACAGGAGCTACCCCCACTGTGGCTCTGCAGTTTAAATGTAGTAGGCGCAGGCAGCCCAGTTCCTATTACATTTAAATTGCCAAGCCACAGCGAGGGTAGATCCTGGACTCGGTGCAAACCTGGACTGAGCGCTTTCCCCTATCCACTAATCATGTAGTTAATACAAATTGCCAGTTACCTGCCTCTTAACACCCTTAGTCCCTACTGAAAATTTTTATCTTGAGTTTACTGCTGGATAACTAAATGAACATGATTATCCCATTTGTATGCATAAATCATTAGTGTTAGGGATGTAAGTGACTAGTTGACTATCTGATAAGTAAAAGCTTATCACAGGTGTGGGGAACCTCCAGCCCATGGGCTGCATCAGCCCACCAAACAATTTAATCCAGCCCTTGGGGTGGGGGGATCCAGCAACTGTAAAACACTGCAGAGAGTCCCAGCAGCTGCTTTAAAAGCTTCTCTAGCCTCCTCTGCAGCACGGATTAACACTTAGGGTTGCCAGATGGTTAAATAAAAAATACCAAACACTCCACCTGCAGGGAAAAAAAAACGGGGAAAAAAATTCTGTTCAGGGGGGAAAAAAAAGGGGAGACCAAAGTTGTTGAGAGAGAGAGGGAAAAAAAAAGCTGAGCCTGACCCTGGCGGGAGGAGGAGAGCTTGTCCTGCATTTTACACCTCTCCCTCCAGTTTGGGTCCACACATTAAACCCCAGTGCACCCACCCCTCCCCCTGAGCCAGGCACCCCAAAACCCCCCATCCCAGCCCACTCCCCCAAAGCCAGGCGCCCCAGTGCCCCCC